CTAGAAGTTCTGAGCAAACCTGCTCCATTACAACACAAAAAATCTAAGTCTAGTAAAGTGGCTTGGATAAAGAACAACATTAAGGGTCTCATAAATACAAGAGACAAACTGAAATGAAAAGCAATTATCACAAAGTTAGAGACTGATTGGTCAAACTACAAAAAAGTTAGAAATCAAGTCAAGAATGAACTAAGAAATGCCAAAAAGCGAATTTTATACAATCAACTTTATGATCATTTAACTGAATTTAGACTACTCAGTGATAATCAATTTGGTTTCCAAAAATCTCATTCTACAGCAACAGCTCTTTTAGATTGTACAAACGAGTGGTATGTGAATATAGATAAGAAATTAAATGTTTAACCTCGTAGTTTTTATAGACCTAAAAAAGGCATTTGATACTGTCAACCATGACATTTTACTGAAAAAGCTGGAATTTTATGGAATAACAGGTCAAGCCCATGACTTATTAAAATCATATCTTTCAAACCGACACCAAAAGTGTCAAATAGACAATCTTATTTCATCAGAACATTTGACTAAATGTGGTGTACCACAAGGTTCTATTTTTGGGCCATTACTGTTCTTGTTGTATATCAACGACTTACCCGAGTGTCTAAAAAATACAAGACCTAGGTTATTCGCTGATGACACAAACATCACAGCCACTGGTCACACCATAGCTGATATTGAGACTGCAGCAAATTCTGATCTGGAAAACCTCAAAAACTGGTTAATAACCAACTTAGCTTGAATGTGGCTAAAACTGAATTTATGTTGATTGGGTCTCTACAAATGATAAGGAATGCCTCTAATGCTCAACCAAATATCCTAATTGAAAACAAACAAATGCAACAAGTACACAAAGCCAAAACTCTAGGAATAATTATTGATCAGCATTTATCTTGGAAACCCAATACTGCAAATATTTGCAAAAAAATAACATCAGGAATCTCAGCTCTACGTCATGTCAAACCATTTATTGCTGAAAGAGATACGCTCACCTCCATATACAATGCCATCGTACGTCCCTACTTCGACTATTGTTCAGAAGTTTGGGATGTATTGGGTGAAATACAATCAAAACGACTACAAAAGCTCCAAAACAGAGCTAGGACAAGGTTTTTCACTCTGAGGACAAGGTTTCTCATTCTGAGGACAAGGTTCCTCCCACTGAGGACAAGGTTCTATCACCCTGAGGAGTGAGGACAAGGTTCCTCACTCTGAGGACAAGATTCCTCACTCTGAGGACATTGTTTCTCACCTTGAGGACAAGGTTCTTCATTCAGAGTTCCATAGTTTAGCACCATCATACATGAAACTATTTTTTATGCTGTTGGTGAGTGGTTATGGGAGACAAGACCAGATTAAATATTTCGAAGATTATTATCTGTTATCTCATTTTTATAACGAAAGAGGTTTGTGAGAGATTCAGGGCCTGTATTATTTAGAGTTTTGGACATCATTTTTGCTTTTGCCTTTTTCCTCATAATATCAAGTGGCTCCCAGCCCAACGCACACAAAGCAATAGAATGATCTACATCATTGCTCATATTGGAAATTATCCGGGCACCTCAAACAGAGGAACCTTGTCCTCAGATTGAAAAACCTGGTCCTCAGATTGAAAAAACTTGTCTTCAGAGTGAGGAACCTTGTCCGCAGAATGAGGAACCTTGTACTCAGGATGCAGAACCTTGTCTTCAGTGTGAGGAACCTTGTCCTCAGAGTGAAGAACCTTGTCCTCAGTGTGAGGAACCTTGTCCTCAGGGTGAAGACCCTTGTCCTCACAGTGAAGAACCTTGTCCTCAGAGTGAAGGACCTTGTCCTCAGGGTGAGGAACCTTATCCTCAGAGTGAATAACCTTCTCATCAGTGTCAGGAACATTGCCCCAGAGTGGAGAACCTTGTCCTCAAAGTGAAGAACCTTGTCCTCAGAGTAAAGAACCTTCTTCTCAGAATGAAGAACCTTGTCCTCAAAATGAGGTACCTTTTCCTCAGAGTGACAAACCTTGTCCTCAGACTGAGCAACCTTGTCCTCCGTGTGAGGTACCTTGTCCTCCGAGTGAGAAACATTGTCCTCAGAGTGAGGAACCTTGTCCTGCGTGTGAGGAACCTTGTCCTTAGAGTGAAGAACCTTGTCGTCAGTGTGAGGAACATTCTAATCACAGCGAAGAACGTTCACCTCAGAGTGACAAACCTTGTCCTCAGAATGAGGAATCTTGTGCTTAGAATGAAGAACCTTGTCCTCAGTGTGAGGAACCTTCTCCTCAGAATGAAGAACCTTGTCCTCACAGTAAAGAACCTTGTCCTCAGAGTGAAGAACCTTGCCCTCAAAGTCAGGAACTTTGTCCTCACAATGCGAAACCTTATCCTGAGAGTGAGGAACCTTATCCTCAGAGCGAGGAACCTTGTCCTCAGAATGAGGAACCTTGTGCTTAGAATGAAGTACCTTCTCCTCAGTGTGAGGAACCTTGTCCTCAGAATGAAGAACCTTCTCCTAAGAGTAAAGTATCTTGTCCTCAGGTGATGAACCTTGTCCTCAAAGTTAGGAAGATTGTCCTGAGAGTGAGAAACCTTGTCCGGAGTGTGAGGAACCTTGTCCTCAGTGTGAGGAACCTTCTCCTCAGAGTGAAGAACCTTGTCCTCAGAGTAAAGAACCTTGTCTTCAGAGTGAGGAACCTTGTCCTCAGAGTAAAGAACCTTGTCCTCAGAATGAGGAACCTTGTCCTCAGAGTCCTCAGAGTGAGGAACCTTGTCCTCAGAGTGAGGAACCTTGTCCTCAGTGTGAGGATCATTGTCCTCACAGTGAAGAACATTCTCCTCAGAGTGAAAAACCTTATCCACAAAGACAGGAAACTTCTCCTCAAAGTGAGGAACCTTGTTCTCAGAGTAAAGAACCTTGTCCTCAGAGTGAGGAACCTTGACCTCAGAGTGAGTACCCTTGCCCTCAGAGTGAGGAACCTTGTCCTCAAAAAGAAAAACCTTGTCCTCAGTGTGAGGAACCTTGTGCTTACGGTGTAGACCCTTGTTCTCAGAGTAAAGAACCTTGTCCTTAGAGTGAAAAACCTCGTCCTCAAAGTGAGGAACCTTTTCCTCAGATTGACAAAACTTGTCCGGAGAATGAGAAACCTTGTCCTCAGTGTGAAAATCATTGTCCTCACAGTGAAGAACATCCTCCTCAGAGTGAGAAACCTTGTCCTCAAAGATAGAAACCTTGTCCTCAGAATGAAGAACCTTGTCCTCAGAGTGAAGAACATTGTCCTCAGGGTGAGAAACCTTGTCCTCAGAGTAAAGAACCTTCTCTTCAGTGTCAGGAACCTTGTCCTCAGAGCGAAGTACCTATTCCTCAGAGTGGAGAAGTTTGTCCTCAGAGTGAAGAACCTTGTCCTTAGAAAGAAGAACCTCGTCCTTAAGGTGAGGAACCTTGTCCTCTTTGTGAGGATCCTTGTCCTCAGAGTGAAGAACCTTGCCTTCAGGGTGATGAACCTTGTCCTCAGAGTGAAGAGCTTTGTCCTCACAGTAAAGAACCTTGTCCTCAGAGTGAAGAACCTTGTCCTCAGAATGAAGAACCTTGTCCTCAGAGTGAAGAACCTTGTACTCAGGGTTAGAAACCTTGTCCTCAGAGTGAAGAACCTTGTCTTCACTGTCAGGAACCTTGTTCCCAGAGTGAAGAACCTTTTCCTCCGAGTGGAGAACCTTGTCCTCAGAGTGAAGAACCTTCTCCTCAGAAAGGAGAACTTTGTCCTCAAAGTGAGGAAACCTCTCCTCATTGTGAGGATCCTTGTCCTCTGAGTGAAGAACCTTGTTCTCAGGGTGAAGAACCTTGTTCTCAGAGTAAAGAACCTTCTTCTCAGAATGAAGAACATTGTCCTCAAATTCAGGTACCTCGTCGTCAGAGTGAGAAACCTTGTCCTCTGAGCGAGGAGCCTTGTTCTCAGTGTGAGGAACCTTGTCCACAGACAGAAGAACCTTGTCCTCAGAAACAAGAACCTTGTCCTCAGTGTGAGGAACCTTGTTATCACAGAGAAGAACCTTGTCCTCAGAGTAAGAACCTTGTCCTCAGAGTGAAGAACCTTGTCCTCAGAGTGAAGAACCTTGCACTCAGAATGAAGAACCTTGTCCTCAAAATGAGGAACCTTGTCTTCAGAGCGAAAAGCCATGTCCTCAGAGTAAAGAACCTTGCCTCAGAATGAGAAACCTTGTCCTCAAAGTGAGGAACCTTGTCCTCAGAGTGAGAAACCTTGTCCTCAGAGTGAGAAACCTTGTCGTCAGAGTGAGAAACCTTGTCCTCAGAGTGAGGAACCTTGTCCTCAGTGTGAGGAACCTTGTCATCGGACTAAAAAACATTGTCCTCAGAGTGTGAAAACTTGTCCTCAGAATGAGGAACCTTGTCCTCAGCGCGAAGAACCTTGTCATCGGAGTAAAAACCATTGTCCTCGGAGTGAGAAACTTTGTCCTCAGAGTGAGGAACCTTGAATCAGAGCTCCGGAATTTGTAAAAATTCGCGACAGGAAAATGATGGTTCAACTGAAAATAAGTTAAAATCGTCTTTCTTATACATCTTGGAAGACGATTTATTTTGGAAAGGTGACTTAGAGTCATTGAAGGAGTTTTTGAAAGCCGATTTACATATCGATGGAAGGTGGTCGTCGGCTCGAGCATGCGGTGAATCAATTCAATTTAGCAATCCGGATTTCTGCTTAAAATGACATGGTTCAACAGAGAAAAAACTATCAGTAATGCAAGATAACGACGAAAGCCATTTATTCTTCTCTCTGAAGAGCTATGCCACCCTACCGATGCCAGAAAACGACGATTGCCAAAATAATGAAGTCGAACACGTGGCGCCGCGTGTTGTTGTTGTTGAAGAGGAAGGCGCGGAAAGGAATCAAAGCACCATAATTGTAGATGAGAATTGCAGTGACTGCGAACACTATAGGGAAGAACTAAACAATCTACTAATTAGAGTAAACGAAATGAAAAAGAAACAAGACGAGGACAGGGGAAATAGCGAATCTGAAATGGCGAAAATCGACGCGAAGTTAAAATCCCTTATCGAGGACAATAATAAAATGGCGGCGGAAATACAGGCGTTAAAAATCAATGTTGAAGAAACATCAAATTACAACGCTGTGATAAGAAGTGTTCTCGACATTAAACAAGGCGAATGGAGAAAGATCGAACGTAGTAAATCTACCGATAAAAAAATTAACCGAGTCTGCTAATAACAACATAACTCAAAGTCAGAACAGATTTGAAGCACTCAATGACGAGAATGAAGAGGAAGCAAGTGATGGGAATCAGATAAACAGTGATGTTAACTCACAAATATCTAACTACAGTGCTAAACAACAGGGGAAGATCGTGAAATCTCCGAAAGTGGCCAAGGAAAAGATAAAGATGGATTCACCAGCAAAAGAAGAGGAAAGGACGCCAACCCACGAGTCATCCAAGGAGAGCATTGACTTGGTCATTGGTGACTCCATGGTCAAGAACATTGACAATATGAAGCTGACAAGAGCAGCAAAGAAAAGAACCTTGTGCCATTCATACAGTGGGGCAACTGTCGACCAGATTGCTGCGAAGTTTGATGAACGTGTGAAAGAGGAGAGCAGTTATGGAAGAGTCATGATCCATGTCGGAACCAATGATCTCGCACGTTCCCAACCTGGCAAAGTTATCAAAAATATGGAAGCCTTGATAACGAAGGTGAAAACCAAAGCCAAAGAAGTTGCTGTATCAGGCATTATAAAAGGTATTACAACAAAGTTAAACCTAATAATATCAATTCATACAACAATTTATTGCACAAATTATGCATCAAGCAAAAAATTGCATACATAGATAACGAATGCATTGTCAAATCTATGCTAAACAGATCTAACCTACATTTAAATAAGAATGACGACAGAGCTTTGGGAAGTGCTTTCAGCACTTTTCTTAAACCGAAACAGAGTTTGAATTCACCAAGTAGAATTAACAATGAAAATTTTTTATGGAAGGGTTATGGACATCTGAGAAAAGACTGGTCAATGCACCACAAGCATGCAAAACGAATACTAAGAAATTAGATACTAATAATTTCTCAAACAAAGATGTGAGTAGCAATTTTTCAGCGACTCTTAATTCCACTCCCAATGAAAGAGGTTTTAAGATGGCCTTTTTAAATATTGTTAGTTTACCCGGTAAAATAGATGAAAGTCGTCATTCAATGTGTAGCAAAAACATTGATTTAATTGCATTCAACGAGACACGACTAGACCTGAGTACTTCTGATGGCCTCATTCATTTAGATGGTTATGAGGTTGTTAGAAAAGATCGTTCCCACAATGGAGGCGGAGTTTGTATATACCTTCGTAGCTCCATCAACTATAAAATAAGGTCAGATCTCGTTACCCCTGAATTGGAGGCCGTTTGTTTAGAAATTACTAAACCACAAAGTAAACCATTTATTGTCACTACAATTTACAGACCGCCAAATGCAACTGCTGAATTTTTTGGCCATTCGGAAAAACTTATTAAACAAATTGATGATGAGAATAAAGAAATGTACATTTTAGGTGACCTAAATTGCAATTTGTTAGAGGGAAAAAATCTTTTCAGTACGCCAGCAAATGAACTATATTCAATATACGAATTATACCAACTATCCCAGTTGATAAATGAACCAACTCGAGTTACCATGAGGTCATCTAGCCTTATTGACCATGCAGTTACGAATACAGCTGAGAAAATTTCACACTCTGGTGTTGTACACACTGGAATAAGTGATCACAGTTTAGTCTATGCAATCAGAAAAACTGGAGTTTTTCATAAAGCTAATGATTGAAATTGAAATTAGAAAGATGAAAAACTTCAATGAAAAGAATTTTATGGATGAGCTTCTTAATCAACATTGGGAATACATTTACTTTTTCGGTAAAAATCCAAATGCCATGTGGGAATTATGGAAAGAACTATTTCTACAAGTTCTGAACAAACATGCTCCATTACAACTCAAAAAATCTAAGTCTAGTAAAGTGGCTTGGATAACGAACAACATTAAGGGTCTTATAAATACAAGAGACAAACTGAAAAGAAAAGCAATTATCACAGAGTTAGAGACTGATTGGTCAAACTACAAAAAAGTTAGAAATCAAGTCAACATTGAACAAAGAAATGCCAAAAAGAACTATTATTCTTCAAAACTTGCTGATCAAAAATGTAACCCAAAGAAAGCATGGAAGTCAACTAATAATTTGCTTGGCAAACAAAACAAACTTTCAAAAGTAAATGAACTCAAATTAGGAGAGAATGCTCTAAACAATCCAAAAGATATTGCAGAGGGCTTTAACAGCTATTTTTCAAACATTGGCCCAGATCTAGCGAGCCAAATACACACAACAAATTGCAATTTTGAGTCGTATATCAAAAAGGCTAAATCAGAATTTGCTGCATTCCAACCTACAAATGTTAATAATGTCTACCAGTTGCTCAGTGCATTATCTAGCAACAAAGCAACTGGCATTGACAAAATATCGTGTAAAATTATTAAAATAGCTGCACCTGCCATTGCAGATTCACTTACATATATTTTTAATCAAGCTATTACTTTATCCTCCTTTCCGGATGACTGGAAAATGGCAAGATTAATACCTCTCTACAAAAACGGCCATCGAAATATTCCTGGCAATTATAGCCCCATTTCATTTCTATCAACTATAAGCAAAATAATGGAGCGAATTTTATACAATCAACTTTATGATCATTTAACTGAATTTACACTACTCAGTGATAATCAATTTGGTTTCCAAAAATCTAATTCTACAGCAACAGCTCTTTTAGATTGTACAAACGAGTGGTATGTGAATATAGATAAGAAAATGTTTAACCTCGTAGTTTTTATAGACCTAAAAAAAGCATTTGATACTGTCAACCATGACATTTTACTGAAAAAGCTGGAATTTTATGGAATATCAGGTCAAGCCCATGACTTATTAAAATCATATCTTTCAAACCGACACCAAAAGTGTCAAATAGACAATTTTATTTCAACAGAACATTTGACTAAATGTGGTGTACCACAAGGTTCTATTTTGGGGCCATTACTGTTCTTGTTGTATATCAACGACTTACCCGAGTGTCTAAAAAAAGACCTCGGTTATTCGCTGATGACACAAACATCACAGCCACTAGTCCCACCATAGCTGATATTGAGACTGCAGCAAATTCTGATCTGGAAAACCTCAAAAACTGGTTAATAGCCAACCAACTTAGCTTGAATGTAGCTAAAACTGAATTTATGTTGATTGGGTCTCCACAAATGATAAGGAATGCCTCTAATGCTCAACCAAATATCCTAATTGAAAACAAACAAATCCAACAAGTAAACAAAGCCAAAACTCTAGGAATAATTATTGATCAGCATTTATCTTGGAAACCCAATACTGCAAATATTTGCAAAAAAATAACATCAGGAATCTCAGCTCTACGTCATGTCAACCATTTATTGCTGAAAGAGATACGCTCACCTCCATATACAATGCCATCGTACGTCCCTACTTCGACTATTGTTCAGAAGTTTGGGATGTATTGGGTGAAATACAATCAAAACGACTACAAATGCTCCAAAACAGAGCTAGGACAAGGTTTTTCACTCTGAGGACAAGGTTTCTTAATCTGAGGACCAGGTTCCTCCCACTGAGGAAAAGGTTCTTCACCCTGAGAAGTGAGGACAAGGTTACTCACCCTGAGGACAAGATTCCTCACTCTGAGGACATGGTTTCTCACTTTGAGGACAAGTTCTTCATTCTGAGGACAAGGTTCTTCACCCTGGGGACAAGGTTCTTCTCTCTGAGGACAAGGTTCTTTAATCTGAGGACGAGGTTCTTCTCTCTGAGGACGAGGTTCTTCTCTCTGAGGACAAGGTTCCTCACACTGAGGACAAGGTTGCTCACTTTGAGGACAAGGTTCCTCTCTCCGTGGACTGGGTTTCTCACCCTGAGGTGAACGTTCTTCACTGTGAGGACAATGTTCCTCACACTGAGGACAAGGTTCTTCACTCTGAGGACAAGGTTCCTCACACGGAGGACAAGGTTCCTCACTCTGAGGAGATGGTTTCTCACACTGAGGACAAGGTACCTCACACGGAGGACAAGGTTGCTCAGTCTCAGGACAAGGTTTGTCATTCTGAGAACAAGGTAACTCATTTTGAGGACAAGGTTCTTCATTCTGAAAAGAAGGTTCTTTACACTGAGGACAAGTTTCTTCACTCTGAGGACAAGGTTCTTCGCTCTGAGGACAAAGTTCTTCACTCTGAAGACATGGTTTTTCACTCTGAGGACAAGGTTCTTCACTCTGAGGACAAGGTTCCTCACCCTGTGGGGAAGATTTTTCACTCTGAGGACAGGGTTTCTCACTCTGAGGACAAGGTTCCTCCCACTGAGGACAAGGTTCTTCACCCTGAGGACAAGGTTCCTCACTCTGAGGACAAAATTCCTCACTCTCAAGACATGGTTTCTCACTTTGAGGACAAGGTTCTTCATTCTGAGGGCAAGGTTCTTCACCCTGGGGACAAGATTCTTCTCTCTGAGGACAAGGTTCTTTAATCTGAGGACGAGGTTCTTCTCTCTGAGGACGAGGTTTTTCTCTTTGAGAACAAGGTTCCTCGCACTCAGGACAAGG